ATGAGGTGAATTAAGTGTCTGTCCCGTCATGCTGTACCATAGAGAGGGTCCTGATCACTCCCATCTATTTAAGGACCGTGGTCCCCTGAGTTCATCATCAGCTTGATGCATTCTGGCTTACGACAGTAGAGGAGAAAACTAATGCATCCACTTCCGTTGACATATCGACCCTTTTATGCACAAATATCCCTATCTAATGTTTCTGACCTTCAATACAACATATATGGGGCGGCTGGTAGCATAGTGGTTAAGAGCGTTGTACCAGTAACCGAAAGGTTGCTGGTTCTAATAAAATCAAATAAAATCAAATTTTATTGGCCACATGCGCCCTGAGTACAACAGGTGCAGACATTACAGTGAAATGCTTACTTACAGCCCTTAACCAACAGTGCATTTATTTTTAACAAAAAAGTAAAAATAAAACAACAACAAAAAAAGTGTTGAGAAAAAAAGTAAAATAAGATAACAGTAGGGAGGCTTTCACCGAGCTGACTAGGTGAAAAATCTGTCGATGTGCCCTTGAGCAAGGCACTTAACCCCAATTGCTCCTGTAAGTTGCTCTGGATAAGAGCGTCTGCTAAATGACCAATTTATTTATTTTTATTTATATAGAATACATGTAGAAGTGCTAAGGGCAAATAGTGGTCCCCTTCAGCAAATTCATATTATTAACTTTTAGTAAATTAGTATGCCCACTAATGTTTCTTCTCTCATGATCTGTAGTTACTAGTATATATATCCTTTGCATTACTTTGAGGGGTCAAGGCCTCAACTAAGGCTTTTTTTTAAAGCGCAGTCTATTGGCATCCGCAATGGCTAGTGCTCTAGCAATCGAAGTCAAGTCACTTCCGCCATCTAGTGTTTAATGCTGGCTAGGATCTGCCTCTGCCTCCAAGGACTACAGTACAATACATTATACAAGAGCACCACATTCACCACGCTTCAGGCCTTCATATATAGACCATTACAATGACTGATGCTTGTCTTGGAGAGTAATTTTCTTCTATACTTTATGTACATTATGGGCTCTATTCAAGCTGTAAAGCTGAAGCGTTACAGATTCCGCGACAGAAATGTAAAGGTAATTTCCGATTGAGCCGACAAGCAGCGTTTACCGTGAATGCAGTCTCCTCTAAAGCGGGAGCATTGCCTTTAATATTCAATCACGCTGTAAAGCTGTACTTCCGCGATGCTGATTGAATAGAGCTCTAAGTAAAGTTTAGTAAACTATATTTCGTATTTTATATCTGATTAGACATGAAATATGGTTGTTTACTATAAGAACTCTTGAATCATGTCTTCAAGTTGGCCTGATTCAATTATCTTCTGTGTTTGATTGCCCTTTGGCAATGGCAGTTTATGTGATAAAGCCATGTACAGTGTGGAAGGCCAATGTTAATACTGTACCAGTTTGTTAAAAAATCCCTCTTAAGTGTCCAGAAAAACAGAGCTCCCATGTAAAAACCATCTGCTAATGGCTATTGTCATCTCCCGTTGATATACGTCAATGCATTTCAGTGGAAAGTGGACAGGCCCTGCCTAACCGGTTTACCCGGAACATTAAAGGATCGTTTTCCATCCATTTTTTTGTAATATGAGAGGAAACTATTCTCTGCTCTAGGCAGGAAGTATCTCAGCGAGCATTTTCGATCACTTTTCTTAATTTCTGACCCAGAGAGCACAGCAGTTTAGTGACTACACTTCGGATCAACAAGACCTCCAAATGCATCTTTAATGAGCATTTTAGAAAGTCATAATGGCATCTCACTAATGCTCGCCCGTTAATGATCTTCTGCATCTGCTGCTGGCCCCGCCTCTACGCTTTCCCCGTCTACGCCTATGACAGTTCTTTGAATAATATGGTTTAAACTTTTGTAGCATCTTCTTGCTTTCATTCCAAGATCCGACGACTGTTTGCTCATATTGAGGACACTTTTCTTGGCTTCAGTTATGCATAGAAGCAAGACTTTTCCTTTGAGAAAATCTGCGTCAGGTAGGCAGCTCTTTTCATTTCCAAGTGTTTCTGCACATTTTCTTTCAGTTTGTTTGGCTTCTAGAGATATAGCCTACTTTCTGATGCACATTGGATACTCTTATATTTCGATTATAAGAATATCCGATTTACTTTGTGTTTTGTTGCATGATCTGTGGCAGAAGAGGGTTGTTTTTGACGGTTGAGCACTGTGGAGCGGCAGAGTCGCACGCACTCTTGACGGAGCTGTCCATGGTGCTGAAGTAAAGATGACCTCAGCGATAGAAGTGTGTGGTTGATGTCTACCAAATAGAACTAGTTGGAAGTCGAACGTTTATTATATTCAGTTGATGTGTAGTAGGCTATGTATAAAACTTGCTGAAGTTGACGGATAGAATTCGAAATTGTACATATTGGTGCATATAAATTGTAACAAACATACCGGTAATATGTTAAACGGCATGTATGTTGAAAGATTATATATTTACAACAGATCACACAGGTTTATGTTATTGGATGATCAAGTTTGAAAAAGTATTACCTACCTAACTTTCTAGTAAAATATGTAGGCTGTCGTTATACTCTGGAGTCTTGAGCCTTTTCAGAAACCTGCTTTTAATATTGTCTATTCACTATGACTGTTATAGATGGATTGTTAACATGATTGGAAAATAGTTAATTTATTTGTAATTGATCGTAACAGGTTTGTTACAATGTCTTTTTTGGTGACCATTTTTTCAGGTCTTTGTTACCATTTTTTCAGGTCTTTGGCTTCCGTGTGTGGCAGTGTATGCAATAGCCTACTAATGTACAGCACTATTGATCTATTAATCATGTAAAGTTTGAGTACGGCAGCTTCAGATCTGGACTGTAGGTGGCACCCTTGTGGAGGCTTTGATTCCGAGATGATGCACAGAGAGGAAACAGAGACGGTTTAAAGGGAGGAATAGGAAGGATAGCTACTGCTGCTTCTTCAGGGAGTTATTGAAAGTAGCCTTGTCAGTAAGGGGGTGCTTCTTCTTACATGCGTTTGATCTAGCAATTGATGCAATAGCAGTATATGACTCCTGTCTTGTCATGAGAGAATTTGTTCGATCACTGTCAGTTTCACTGAGTTGCGTGCCATCGATTTTTTTACGCCCGCGTGTAAAATGTAGATAGATTGAATCAGGGGCGTGCGCTGTTATGAGTTGCTCTCATGCACTACCAGCTCTCAGTCTCACGTCAGAATTAGACGTTCCTCCATGTTTCTCAAACGTTACATTTCGAAGTTGTTCCAAACGTATGTTTATCATTATCATCAACATCCTCACATTGTTTTGTTGTAAATAACTGATAAAAAGATGTGTAGGTTCCCCTCAGTCTAGGTTGAAGATAACAATAAGCATAACGTATATTTTTGACCTAGCCGTAAGTGCAAGGCAAGGAATTCCTTGGTGCAAGGCAAAGGCCAGACTGCCATGGCAACGCGCTGGTAAAAAATGTGGGCGCGAGCTTCCTGTTGTAGCCACATGCTCATCTCCTCACCCTTCTCTAGGGACAGACAGACCGACAGGATGTGGCATATTGACGATGTTTCAGCCCAAGAGTCATTTATTCTATCACCCTGTGTTGTTTTATGCCAGTGGCTGCTTTCAGAGTTTTTCTTCACCTGAGTGTATAGGTGGCAGAGGTAGCCAAATCCATATTCGACTGTGTCAGGGCTTTGCCGACAGTCCCGAGTCATTGGTCACTGTGCCTCGCGCTTGAGTACCACTGTCACGTTTGTTTGGGTGTCTGCAGTGAAGCAGGTGGGGGTGGGAAAAATCTCAAGGCAGTGTCGCTGTACAAGGTACTGCAGTGGAGCTTGGGCATGCAGGTCGCCTTGCTTATCTCACACACATCATTAAAAGTGCTAAAATGATTGCAGGGACCATTGCTAATTGGATAATGACAATGCATGATAAGGAAGATGTATTGTGTATTACTTAGTGTAGGCTACGGGATCAACTGCGAGGGTTACGCTTTATGAGCGTAACATCCCCAACTTTTTTGATGAATCTTTCGTATGCGTAATGGTTATGCCTAAAAGGCATACTCATTGAATCGGTATTGAATAATTGAAGGGACAGAGCGAGAGGGTACCAGAATATTCTCCTGCTCCCCTCCACCCCCACTCCCCCTCCCGGTTCCCCCCGAGCTTGTTCTGCGTCTACGTGTGATGCTCCTTCCGAGCGCAGCAGTGTAGGTGAGACTGTGCAATATGCACTGGGGTCTGATACTGTGTTTGGAATGAAGCGCTTTATTTCATATGTCGCCTCGTTTGAACAAGAGAGGGAAAACTAATTGAATCTCTATAATAATTAGTCTCTCTCTCCTCACCCGTCGCTCTATCTAATAAACTGGTTTAGTCCATGCACTATACTAGCAGCGCTTTGCCCGTGACGAGGGAGATTAACGACCAAAAAGATAAGGGGTAAAACATCAGCATTGGAAACGTTCTCTCTGCGTTCTCTACCAGGTGTTTCTGGCTGCGCATTAAGCGCCGTCCACAACCACCTGCCTCTGCGCCACTCTTCATGTGCATGGTCCCTGCTTTTGTGGGATGGTGCAAAACGGCTTTTAGGGAAACAGCTACGCGTTAGTTATGATGCTGATGAAATGCCACTATTTGTGCTGTACGAGAGTGGAACATGTGTCTCATCATTTTTTGTTGAGGACTGCTTTTTCTTTCCGGAGATAAGATGCACCGTTACCGAGCTACGCCCAACAAAACCATCAGAAATACTATCAACTTACAGAACATTTAATTGGCATCATTTTGAAGAAGAGTGGAGGTACTTTTTTACGCACTGACTGCATTTAGAATTTAATATATTTATTTCACAATTAACGAGCAATGACTGCGCTTTGCATTTGAGGACTCTTTGGATGATCACTGCTCCTTGAGAAAGATTTTCAATAAAACATCTTGGGCTTGGGAGGAAGAGGTAGAGAAGAACATTTCTCATAGTCTGGAAGTTTTCTCCGGAAAACCGTCAAACTGGCCATGGCTGCAGCGTTAGCCAGCTCCCTTATTCGGCAGAAAAGGCAGGCGAGGGAGCGGGAGAAATCTAATGCCTGCCGCTGCGTTAGCAGCCCGAACAAGACGAAGCCATGCGAGAAACCGAGCCGGCTGTCTATGTTCTCTCGGGTCAAACTCTTTGGCTCCAAGAAGAGGAGACGGAGGCGACCAGGTCTGTTTTGGGTGTAGATCATTTCGTTAGACCATCACAATTCATATGTTTGATTTCTGTTGCCATTTCCTCTGTTTCATCATCACTTTCACCAACTCTGCTCTGTTCGCCAAATATCAGGGGCACTGGACAACCAAAGTGGCTATATAGGTATAGGAAAAACGGTAAAATGAATAAATGATTTGATATATATATATATATATATATATATATATATATATATATATATATATATATTATCAATAGAATGTTAATCAAAATCTATAAATACAGATTTAGATCACAGGAAAGACAGTGAGAAGGTCTCCCTATGGATATGTGTTTTAGTTCATGCACAAAAGGGTGACCTATGACATTTCAGACTGTACTTAATAACTACCTAAGTTATGTATTATATTGTGCTTTATCCCTCAGTGTCTGCTCATGTAATCCCAGGTGGGCCAGGACAATAGAGCCAGATAAACAGGATTAGAGTATAACACAAGCCCACTGTGGTCTTTAAATATCATTGGCATGCTTATGTCTGTTGTCTGAATCCACAATGAGCAAGCTTCAAAAAGCCTCTATGCAGATATATTGCTTTGGAGTACTATAATGGGACGCAGGATGTACAGCAGGCACCCAAGCATTTTAATCGTTTCGTGTAATTTCACCAAGTGTAGAAAATGATGAAGGATATTTATACTTTTCTGAAGAATATGTCAAACACAATTTGTGAAGTTTAGCACATCCTGTACACATGTATTCAACTTAATATTTTTTGGATTTCAAAACCAACCAGCAAAAACTTCCAGGGACATTTTCTGTACAGACAGTGCAGTATAGTCCGCTGCCTGTACTTCAGAGCTGTGCTCTAACAGAAAACTGATAAGGCATCCCAAGAGAGCTCTCAGTCCCTGCAGTATATTCCGCCAAGGTGCGATTCATGTAGTTAGTGAAGGCTTAGCCTCCACTGCTGCTTACAGCGTCCAGACAGAACCACATCCACAACCAGAACCAGACATGCACAACCAGCACCAGAGTAGAGAGTCAAACAGACCAGCTTGCGTTTGACCATTAGCTGTGCTACATCTCCGCACTACCTTATGGCTGGTTCTCTGTAATGTTTACAAAGCTACAAAGCCGTGGCCCTTGGTTAATGAGCACCGCTGAGGTTTGCTGAGCGTGACTCAGCCCTGTGCTTTCAGACCTAAATGATCTCCAGTTAATTCCTCTCCCATCAAGTTCACAGGCTGTTTCAGGCTGTTTTGGAAGTGCATTATGCAGGTGGGGGTGGAGTGGAGGAGATTGGGGGTGCATTGCTCGGGCAGCTGGGGCTAAGCTACCCTGCAGTGTTCCATCAGAACTGGACACACACCATGATACCAGCCAGTACACTCTATCACCTCCCCTCATCCCCTCTTCCCCCTCCCTGAGGCAGGACTGTAGAGTCGGGAGGGGACGGGGACAGGGAGTGTGTGGTTTACGTAACACATATGTGGAACCTCAGAGGACGCAAGATACTTTTCTGTTGCGGCTATGGGAGTGTTTTTGGGTGTGGATGTGTTTGGGTGTGGATGTGTTTTGGTGTGAATGTGTTTGGGTGTGTCAGTGAGTGTGTGAGATGAGATCCCTGAGCATGTCTCCTGGTAGAAAAAGCCGCCCGCTGATTTCACCTTGTGGCACCATTCTCTGTCTCTGATACATTGTTTCCTTGTGATGTAACACCTTGTGAATGTGTGTTTTGAAGGTAACATGGGAATTTACAAATAAAGAAGTCTTGCAAGCAATTTCCTCCTCCAATCCCCATATATCAATTCAATGCACTTTAAGCAACATTGAAGAAATGGTCTTTATGGCTTGTACATTAACCCAGATGGCTACCCAGCATCACACTCAGATTACTTACTTTGACAGTTTGGCGAAAGTCCCTGCCTTTGAAAAGACGTCAGCCTCCTGATGTATTGGTCTTAAAAGGTTCCAATAGTAGGGAGCCAGTGGTGCAAAAAATAGCCAAAGCATGTGTACTGGCCAGGCGGTAACCTTTGTGAGGGTTGAAATGGCAGTATTGAAAGGTAAGGCAGATGAAAGAGGGGATGAAAGGTGTGGTAAATCGCGGTAAAGGACAGTCCTCTAGGGAAAGGGACACGGGGAAAGGACAGTCCTCTAGGGAAAGGGACACGGGGAAAGGACAGTCCTCTAGGGAAAGGGACACGGGGAAAGGACAGTCCTCTAGGGAAAGGGACACGGGGAAAGGACAGTCCTCTAGGGAAAGGGACACGGGGAAAGGACAGTCTTCTAGGGAAAGGGACACGGGGAAAGGACATTCCTCTAGGGAAAGGGACACGGGGAAAGGACAGTCCTCTAGGGAAAGGGACACCCGGAAAGGACAGTCCTCTAGGGAAAGGGACACGGGGAAAGGACAGTCCTCTAGGGAAAGGGACATGGGGAAAGGACAGTCCTCTAGGGAAAGGGACACGGGGAAAGGACAGTCCTCTAGGGAAAGGGACACGGAAAGGACAGTCCTCTAGGGAAAGGGACACGGGGAAAGGACAGTCCTCTAGGGAAAGGGACACGGGGAAAGGACAGTCCTCTAGGGAAAGGGACACGGGGAAAGGACAGTCCTCTAGGGAAAGGGACACGGGGAAAGGACAGCTCTTAGTGGAACATGACACACCAAAATGTCAAGTTTGTGTCATCATAGACACTTCCAGTTCCAGGTTTTTCAAGTATTTTTTTATATAAGATATAGGCCACCGCCTTCCCAACTAAAACCTCTTTAGAAGGAGTTTGAACTACTGACTTTGCTGATCCATTGGCTAGCAGAATTTGTACTTTTTAAGAGGGCACTCTAATTTAGTTGTTTAATTTCTTTGGATGGCATAGATGGACTGAATTTTTTCCCCACTATACGTGGCCATCCATTACACCATAGAAGGAAGTTGGATACCCCATATCTTAAGACATGGCATTTTCACTAGGGAGCACACAAACATGATATGGACAGTGGACATTTAAAAAAATCTAACAGTGCTTATCCTAGATAAATATTTACTCTTACTCTCAAGCACATGCTCTCCGTTTAATCCTCTCTGGTGCAGCCACAGGCCCCTTTGGAATAAACCCAGACTTCCTTTCTAGTCTCCCTAGTCCTTCCCTGTTCCTGTGTGTGGTAGAGATAGGAACTGTTTGCTCATACGCCAGTATCCATGGCTTGATCTTCTAGACATCAGCAGAGATGTGTTTGCACTGGTCTCTTGAGCCTTTGGAGAGCTGAGAATGTGGTTACGCTGGACCTATTGGAGCAGGACTGGGGGACTGGTTAGTTACTTAAGCAATAAAGCCCAAGGGGGTGTGGTATATGGCCAATATACCACGGCTAAGGGCTGTTCTGACGCACAACGCAACATGGAGTGCCTGGATACAGCCCTTAGCCGTGGTATATTGGCCATATACCACAAACCCCAGAGGTGCCTTATTGCTATTATAAACAGGTTACCAACATAATTAGAGCAGTACAAATAAATGTTTTGTCGTACCTGTGGTATACGGTCTGATATACAACGACTGTCAGCCAATCAGCATTCAAGGCTCGAAACACCCAGTTTATAATGTGATTTATAACCTAGCGTGCCAGACTTATAGGATAGGATATCTTGTTATAAGATACATGGCTGGTGGATGGGTGAACAAGGATTCTGTGTGGGCACAACTCTAGTATCATCTCACCCTACCCCAATCCATTTGGAGAGGGGGCACAAAACTGAACTGAAATCAGCACCTTGATTATACAATTTACATCAGCATCTTGATGCAACTTCATCTTTCTTCAGGAATGAGACAAGCCTTGATGCAGGATCAGAGCCTGTATCCAATCTCACACTCCCCCTCTTCTCCCTCCTCCCTCTCTCCCCCTCTCCTCAGAACCCCAGTTGAAGGGGATCGTGACGAAGCTGTACAGTCGACAGGGCTTCCACCTGCAGCTGCAAGCAGATGGCACCATTGACGGGACGAAGGAAGAGGACAATGGCTACAGTAAGTCCTCTGCTCGGCTGACACCAGGGACATATTCATTAGGGCAGTGGTTCCCAAACTGGGCTAAAAATAATACTAATAAATCAAATAGAATCGTTTTATATAAATATTTCTAGCAACAACAGATTAAACGATTTTGGCCAAGGGGTCGGTGGAACAAGTTTAGAGGGTGCAAAACAATTCAATATTATTAATCTACAATATAGGCTACCCTTAGATGCACAACAGGGTCTGAGAGGCTCACAGGGATCCACAGTACTTCATCAATTATCCATTTTTTTACTCAATACTTCTTGTATTCCTCACAAAAATGGTTTTGAACATAAATGCACTGTAATTTAAGCTTTAAAACTGAAAAATGGTCTCTCTGCCCCATGGGAAAATGTGTAGAATTGCAGGACATTACCTTGGAAACTGCAATTTTTTCTCTCCGATACGAAGTCAGAGTTGTGTTCTGATTTTGAGGGGGTTCCTGATGAATTTGCTATCACAAAAGGGGTCCCCCGGCCTCAAAAAGTTTGGGAAACCCTACATTACAGCACATCGTAGCAAAACATTTTGCAACGGAAAACGAAAACTAGCATTTGTTATTGGACAAATTCAGGTAGTCCCGTCCTTTTTCAGACAGTTTTCTTCCGTTGGGTGTCTAATGAAAACAACCTTGTCAATCAACCTAACCCATCTACTCCATGCTGATTCCAGACTATCATATTTCCCCTGTACATAAACCCGGTCATCAGTAACTGTGCATCAACACAGTAAATAGTGTATCGGCACAGTAACATCAAATAAAATGTCCTGGCTGATTCCGTTTCAAAGAAGAAGCGCACAGCATTGATCTGTACATTCTGCATGCTGTACTAAGTTGTTGCTGAAATTGTTTCTCACTCCACTGCTACACATGTTTACTGCATATCTCCTCACTCGCTCATACAGATAGACTTACGCTGAGCCTACAAAACATTAAGAACACATGCACTTTCCATGACATAGACTGACCAGGTGAATCCAGGTGAAAGCTATGATCCCTTATTGATGTCACTTGTTAAATCCACTTCAATCAGTGTAGATGAAGGGGAGGAGACAGGTTAAAGAATGATTTTTAAGCCTTAAGACAATTGAGACATGGATTGTGTATGTGTGTGGGGTGAATGGGCAAGACAAAATATTTAAGTGCCTTTGAACAGGGTATGGCAGTAGGTGCCAGGCGCACCGGTTTGTTTCAAGAACTGCTTCGCTGCTGGGTTTTTCAAGCTAAACAGTTTCCCGTGTGTATCAAAAATGGTCCTGGTCCACCATCCAAAGCACAACCAGCTAACTTGACACAACTGTGGGAGGCATTGAAGTCAACATGGGCCCCTGTGGAATGCTTTCAACACCAGGGGGTGGGGGGGGGGATAATATTAAGAAGGTGTTCCTAATGTTTTGTACACTCAGTATATTTGGTTCAGTCTATTTGGATCCTTCATCGGAATTAGAATCCCATATTATCCCTTCCTCAGATTTTCTAAAGCCTTTGAGATGTGTGAGACAAACAATAGAATGGAAAGTGGCTTACAGCAATGATATGGAGCATTAGATTGTGCTTAGGGAGATCAGTACAGCGGCTGATTGGCTTTTTTAATCTGTTACAGACTTTAGTAATACCAGGCTTTTTGTAATCCACACATTATTGATAGTTCACTACCAGTACTCCCACTGCTCAGGGTGCTATGTTCTTCAATGGGCAGATTAAAGCAGAGATCGATAGCAAAACAACAGCATACATCCACCAAGCCCAAACACAATCCAATACATGTGGATAGGTAGATATTAGATAGATGTACAGACTGGTGGATGTTTGAGGGCCTCTGCACATGGAGAGTCCCAGGGTTTCTGTGCAGGCTGTTAGAAAGGCACTCGTCCTGATCGCGGCACAGTGACTATTTACTGACAGCTGCTTCCTGCTTTGTAATTGCTGGCAACAGTGTTGGATGTCATATAATGTTGTGACATTATGACGCTCCTCAGTAAAAACACCACATTAAGAAAAAATGGACAAATGTTGTTATAGGAACAACAGTCCTACCCTGTCCTGATAAGACCTCTACTAGAGTTGCCTTGACAGAGTGGTAGGTAGACTATTATCAGGCCCAGAGCGCTATTCCCTTCCAGCCTTGGCGCGACTCGTAAGTGCCCGCCCGGTGCCCGTGCCTCATGGCGCCGCGTGGTTCGTTGTCAGGGCACTAATGTAATACCTGCTGCTGCCTGCATCACCATCACCCCGACAGTAAACGAATGTGGCATTCCAGGAGACTGTAAATTAGCCCCGACTATATTCAATTAGTCACTTAAGCCAGATGACACTCCTATAACACAAATTAACACCCGTTCTGTGCAGCTTGCGTGTCAGCTGGAGCAATAACAGACTCGGTAATCGTCTGGTTTTATTATGTTGCCGTCGCGGGGAGGAGAGGGGGGAGGAGAGGGGGGAGGGATGTGGGAGGAGGGAGATGTGAATAACATAGAGGGGAGTGAGCGTACTTAGAGAAAAGAGAATGAACACAACACACTCACTGAAGGCACAACACACACCAACCACTCCCCACTCCCATGTCTCCTAGTGCTGGTTAGATAGACCCGTTAACAGTTACAGTCCTATTAAGATACGTTATGTAACAATTGGCCTGCTTTTCCCAACCAAAACATTTCCACTTGGAAGATACAAATTATAGATCTGGCTGAATAAGAAGGGGAGAAAAGTGAAGCTGTTTGCACCGGTCCAAAAATAGCATTGTTAGGCGCTGTGTGCTCTTGTCTCCATGGTGATGGGAGCGCAGTCCTCTCTGAGCTATGGTGCCTTGTAATGGTGGGAGAGGAGCTACTCAAATGCAAGCGCACGCGCACACACACACACACACACACACACACACACACACACACACACACACACACACACACACACACACAAACAAACAAGCATTCTAACATTGCTGAGGTAGCACTCATGAATATACAGCAGTGTTCATTGATGTTTTCTTTTAGTTTTGTTTACCAAATCCAGAGCAGCCCAACTTTTGCTCTATCTGGGCAGGTAATTGTTTGAGCATGGAATTATTTGAGATATCAGGGGGATATTAACTTTTAAAGCAGTATTTAAAATCAGGCAGGCTTCATTAGAGAGGCAAATGAAAATCAAGCATTGAATTAACAAATCCTTTTAACATTAAAACAATGTTTTCTTTTTCTACATTCTGAACCATTATGCAAAATATCGTCCAGCGCATACTAATTCATTTCCACATTTCCAAAGAAGGAGCACCGATTCAAGACATTCTCAAAGGTGATTCCTCTTTCTCCTCTCTGTCATAACACTGCTTAAATTGGGTTATGCCCTTAAACCAAGATTCACACACATTAATCTAATTGGCTAATCAATGGCTTGGGGTTGGGAGGCGAAGCCTTTGTCCTCATGTAGATTTGAATCTGTGTTAATTTGTCCCTCCTCTCTCTCTGTATCTTGAGCAGTAATGTTAATGCTGATGATCTGAGGTCTGCTTTGTTCCTTCATAATCATCTCCTATATGAATGGTTCTCAGACAGTACAGTACAGAAACAGAGGGTTTGAAGTAGAACAATACCATAAGATGTAGTCACGTGTTGAACGTAGTTAGTCTCTTATCAGGACAGGGCATGTGTCTTACTGTTATGTACGTGTTGAACCTCAGCTGTTCTGTGAGATACAAGTAATTGAGTTTCCCCTCTCGAAAATCCCAGGCGGCCGATTGGCTGGTAATCCCCCTGAAATGAAGTTTACCGCAGCTGTGTGAGGGTCTCAGCACGCAGCGAACAGACAAAGAGAGAGAAAAGGAGAGAGAGGGGAAGAGGTAAAGCGAGCATTATTAAGGGGAAATATCCCTTTGTGCTGCAGGGGGATGAGCAGTAGCAGGAATGGGGTCGCCTATACCATGATGGAAGTGGAATCCTGTCTATGCCCATACTGATACTTTCAACAACAACAAAAAACTTTAGCTACATCAACTAAAAGAAACGTACAAACATGACCCACAAAGTACTTCCTTCCACACTCACGTCAGTGAGTTTAAGTCCACCTACCTGAAAGCCAGTTACACCACACATAGAGCCTCTGAAAATAGCAGTAGCATACTGTACCAAAGGTATGTGGACACCTGCTCGTCGAACATCTCATTCCAAAATCATGGCCATTAATATGGAGTTGATCCCTCCTTTGCTGCTATAACAGCCTCCACTCTTCCGGGAAGGCTTTCCACTAGATGCTGGAACCTTGCTGTAGGGACTTGCTTCCAGCCACAAGAGCATTAGTGAGGTCGGGCACTGATGTTGGGCGACTAGGCCTGGCTCGCAGTCGGCATTCCAATTCATCCCAAAAGTGTTCGAAGGTGGCATTGTCATGCTGAAACAAGAAAGGGCCTTCCCCAAACTGTTGCCACAGTTGGAAGCAAAGAATCGTCTAGAATGTTATTGTATGCTGTAGCGTTAAGATTTCCCTTCGCTGGATCTAAGGGGCCTAGTCCGAACCATGAAAAACAGCCTCAGACCATTATTCCTCCCCCACCAAACGTTACAGTTGGCACTATGCATTGGGGCAGGTAGTGTTCTGCTGGCATCCGCTAAACCCAGATTCGTCCGTCGGACTACCAGATGCTGAAGCCTGATTCATCACTCCAGAGAATGCGTTTCCACTTCTCCAGAGTCCAATGGAGGCGTGATTTACACCACTCCGGTTGAATGGCGGGAACCCGGTTACCGAGATGTAGCGGGATTTACAGCCCAAAACCACTCCCTTTTTCCCAGAGAAATAACTAAGAGAAACCGGTAAATTAAAATACATTATTTATATGAACAGCATGGTGTGAAATGGAACTGTAAAATTAAATGTGATGTCTAAATCTGGCCTCTGCATGATGAATCATCAATGCTCAGGGTGGGGACAGACAGCCCATCTCAGATTGGAGCGCAGTTCACAATGCATGTAGACCTATCATCTCATCATGGTAACTTTGTTTCTTGTGACAGGTAGGCCTGCATTTGCTGCAGCATAGCCTAAGCTACAGTAATATAAAGACCGAATGCAAGTCTAATTTACCCATCTCCATCTGGCTTTCAGGGGTCACCTTCGTTTTTTAATTGTAAAGATACAGTTGAAATCGGAAGTTTACATACACCTTAACCAAATACATTTAAACACAGTTTTTCACAATTCCTTACATTTAATCCTAGTAAAAATGCCCTGTCTTAGGTCAGTTAGGATCACCACTTTATTTTAAGAATGTGAAATGTCAGAATAATAGTAGAGAGAATTATTTATTTCAGCTTTTATTTCTTTCATCACATTCCCAGTGGGTCAGAAGTTTACATACACTCAATTAGTATTTGGTAGCATTGCCTTTAAATTGTTTAACTTGGGTCAAACATTTCGGGTAGCCTTCCACAAGCTTCCCACATTAAGTTTGGTGAATTTTGGCCCATTCCTCCTGACAGAGCTGGTATAACTGAGTGAGGTTTGTAGGCCTCCTTGCTCACACACGCTTTTTCAGTTCTGCCCACAAATGTTCTATAGGATTGAGGTCAGGGCTTTGTGATGGCCACTCCAATACCTTGACTTTGTTGACCTTAAGCCATTTTGCCACAACTTTAAAAGTATGCTTGGGGTCATTGTCCATTTGGAAGACCCATTTGCGACCAAGCTTTAACTTCCTGACTGATGTCTTGAGATGTTGCTTCAATATATCCACCTAATTTTACTTTCTCATGATGCCATCTATTTTGTGAAGTGCACCAGTCCCTCCTGCAGCAAAGCACCCCCACAGCATGATGCTGCCACCCCCGTGCTTCACAATTGGGATGGTGTTCTTCGGCTTGCAAGCCACCCTCCTTTTCCTCCAAACATAACGATGGTCATTATGGCCAAACAGTTCTATCTTTGTTTCATCAGACCAGATGACATTTCTCCAAAAAGTACGATCTTTGTCCCCATGTGCAGTTGCAAACCTTAGTCTGGCTTTTTTATGGCGGTTTTGGAGCAGTGGCTTCTTCCTTGCTGAGCGGCCTTTCAGGTTATGTCGATATAGGACTCGTTTAACTGTGGATATAGATACTTTTGTACCTGTTTCCTCCAGGATCTTCACAAGGTCTTTTGCTGTTGTTCTGGGATTGAATTGCACTTTTCGCACCAAAGTACGTTCATCTCTAGGAGACAGAACGCGTCTCCTTCTTGAGCGGTATGATGGCTGCGTGGTCCCATGGTGTTTATCCTTGTGTACGTACTATTGTTTGTACAGATGAACGTGGTACCTTCAGGTGTTTGGAAATTGCTCCCAAGGTTGAACCAGACTTGTGGAGGTCTACAATTTTATTTCTGAGGTCTTGGCTGATTTCTTTTGATTTTCCCATGATGTCAAGCAAAGAGGCATTGAGTTTGAAGGTAGGCCTTGAATACATCCACAGGTACACAGTCAACTTAGTGTATGTAAACTTCTGACCTACTGGAATTGTGATACAGTGAATTCTAAGTGAAATAATCTGTCTGTAAACAATTGTTGGAAAAATGACTTGTGTCATGCACAAAGTAGATGTCCTAACCGACTTGCCAAAACTATAGTTTGTTAACAAGAAATTTGTGGAGTGGTTGAAAAACTAGTTTTAATGACTCCAACCAACAAGTGTATGTAAACTTCCGACTGTATGTATATTTTTAAATTGCTGCTGCAGAGTTTAAAACAGCTTATCACTCAAATATTGTTACATTAAATCAGTGCACACAGGAGCACTCTCTCGCAGTCTTTCTCTCTCTCCAGCAACTCCATTAAAATTGCATCCAAAATAGATAGTCCTGTTCTAGATTGATATATAGCCCTACAGTATATACAGATGTCCTAACCTACCTCTTTCAGGTAATAAATTGAATGCAGCATTAGCCTTATATTTAGCTAATTAATGATGGGTTTTGCATAATAAACTTCTAACTTATAGCCTTGGTCTCTTGTGCAATACGCACGCACCTGTGCTCCGCTGGCCTCTCCTTAAAAAAACGTCCCATGCAGGAAAAGCTAGACTAGAAAAGCTTGCTGGACATTATTTTTGTAATAATTTCTTATACCAATAGACTATTCAAAGAAGGACGCAAGCTCTTGTTTTCTGAATGTTAAATACAGCAGCCAATAAAACTCACAGGTAATTTGAAAGAAGAGCGATCATGCGATGGCGGTAGGCTACAGCAGTTATTTATTCAGACCCATAACCATTCAATCTTCGGGAAGAGAAGTGAAAGCCTTCTGCATCTAATTCTAGTCCTATATTATTCAAGGATGTCATTATAATGATGAAGATAAGGACAACGCAACTTATTTCATTTAACTGTTGAAAGCGAGGAACGAATGAAGCAACAGAGAGAGAAAGAGGAGGTAGGCTAATAACATTAGGGGAAATATTATGAAAGGTACATATGCGTCAGTCTGCTAATTATACAAATAGGCCCTCCTGTATTGTCTTGGCGGTGTGCTTAGGGTTGTTGTCCTGTTGGAAGGTGAACTTTCGCCCCAGTCTGAGGTCCTGAGAGCTCTGGAGCAGGTTTTCATCAAGGGTCTCTCTGTACTTTGCTCCATTAATCTTTGCCTCAATCCTGACTAGTCTCCCAGTCCCTGCCGCTAAAAAACATCCCCACAGCATGATGCTGCCACCACCATGCTTTACCGTAGGGATGGTGCCAGGTTTCCTCCAGATGTGACGCTTGGCATTCAGGCCAAAGAGTTCAATCTTGGTTACATCAGACCAGAGAATCTTGTTTCTCATGGTCTGAGAGTCTTTAGGTGTCTTTTGGCAAACTCCAAGCGGGCTGTCATGTGGCTTTTACTTAGGAGTGGCTTCCGTCAGGCCACTCTACCACGAAGGTCTGATTGGTGGAATGCTGCAGAGATGGTTGTCCTTCTGGAAGATTCTCCCATCTCCACAGAGGAACTCTGTAGCTCTGTCAGAGTGACCATCGGGTTCTTGGTCACCTCCCTGACCAAAGCCCTTCTCCCCAGATTGCTCAGTTTGGCCGGGCGGCCAGCTCGACAAAACCCTGTCTCGGAGCTCTACGGACAATTCCTTCGACCTCATGGCTTTATTATTGCTCTGACATGCACTATCAACTGTGGGACCTTATATAGACAGGTGTGTACCTTTCCAAAACATGCCCAATCAATTAAATTTACCACAGATGGACTCCAATCGTTGTAGAAACATCTCAAGGATGATCAATGGAAACATGATACACCTGAGCTAAATTTCGAGTCTCATAGCAAAGGGTCTGAATACTTATGTTAATAAGGTATCTGTTTTTTATTGTTGATACATTTGCAAACATTTACAAAAAACCTGTTTTCACTTTGACATTATGGGGTATTGTGTGTAGATTGCTGAGGATTTTTATTTATTTAATAAATTTTTGAATAAGGCTGTAATGTAATAAAATGTGGAAAAAGTCAAGAAGTCTGAATACTTTCCGAAGGCACTGTATGTAATGGATAACGGAACAATCATGTGGGCTTTTTTGGGCTTGGGCTTATGACATTTCTTTAATGTAGGGCTCATAAAATGTATTTAATGTATGGCTCATCAGGCTCAGGTAGCATCAGGCTTGAATTTTCGATCAAAGCTCTAATCAAATCCAGACATATTTATATGCTTTATAATGCTTTTGAATGACACTTCCGGTTTTGGCGAGAAATACTGGGTTACCCGGGAGAAAAGTGATTTTTTCTCGGGATGGATAATTTGTAAAATATTGGGAAAATATTCAACCCTAGTGTGGCTGAAATAGCCGAATCCACTAATTTGAAAGGGTGTCCACAAACTTTTGTATATATAGTGTAGCTAGCTGATCCCAGATCAGTTATCTCTGTGGACAAGGCAGCAGATGTGGCTCAGGGTGGAGGGCTCCAGTGGGACTGTGATCAGCCCAGGTATGCAGGGGAAGAGAGGATGGAGGAGAGGAGAGGAAGGAGGAGACAAGAGACGGAGGGAAGAGAGGAGGAGAGGAGGACGACAGGAGAGCAGAGGGTGTATTTACGGCATCATTCTGCAGTACTACCTCTACAGTGGGTTGTAGTAGCTGTTAACTTGATGAAATCCCTACTCGTCTTCTGTTGTTTACCATGGAAGCCTGGGAAGGCACAGAGGCTGTCTTAGTGTTAAGGTCAGGGGAGAGAGTCTATCACAGCTGGACTGCTTATATGGGCTTCCTCTCTGGAGGGAGGAAGTAGTTATATAGAGAGGATCTGTGGTGAGACTCCTGTGTGGTTGTTCCTAGCACCTAATTCCTTGGCCCTGTCAGTAAACCAAGAGTAAAAGAGAGAAGCAGAGGACCAGTGCTGATGACAAACACATATCAATGCTGATGTTGAAGAGAGAGAGCTTTGTCTCTTCACCTTAAATATCCACTCCTCTTGTCCTTATGTTGCTGGCATCCTATCTGCTCCATATAGACAGGTGTGTGTGTGTGTGTGTGTGTGTGTGTGTGTGTGTGTGTGTGTGTGTGTGTGTGTGTGTGTCTGTGTGCCTGCGAAGTGTGTGTGTCCTTATATTACTGTGTGATTGTGTAAATCCCCTCACACAGAGATGTGCCCGTCTTTATCCCATAGCCCAGAAAACCCTGTCCTCTGTTACTAGAGGGCATGCATGTGGCAGCACTGTGCACAATTAGTGCCAGCCAGGACAGAAGAGGAGGGGGCAGGACATAAGAGGAAGGAGCAGGACAGAAGAGGTGGGGCAGGACAGAAGAGGAGGGGGCAGGACAGAAGAGGTGGGGCAGGACAGAAGAGGGGGGGAAGGAATGAAGAGGAGGGGGCAGGACAAAAGAGGAGGGGGCAGGACAGAAGAGGAGGGGGCAGGACAGAAGAGGAGGGGGCAGGACAGAAGAGGAGGGTGCAGGAGAGAAGAGGAGGGAGCACGACAGAAGAGGTGGGGCAGGACAAAAGAGGTGGGGCAGGACAGAAGAGGAGGGGGCAGGACAGAAGAGGAGGGGGCAGGACAGAGCAGCAAAGCCACTGTTTGGCTCTGATGTTGGCGTAACTCTGAGAATACAGTTACAATATGACATAATGGCAGTAGTTACAATAACAGCTTTACTGTTACAATAGGACATAACGGCAGTAGTTACAATAACAACTTTACAGTTACAATAGAACATAACGGCAGTAGTTACAATAACAGCTTTACAGTTACTTTAAACTAATCGGCAGTAGTTACAATAACAGATTTACAGTTACAATAGGACATAACGGCAGTAGCTACAATAACAGCTTTACAGTTACTTTAAACATATCGGCAGTAGTTACAATAACAGCTTTATAGTTACAATAGGACATAACGGCAGTAGTTACAATAACAACTTTACAGTTACAATAGGACATAACGGCAGTAGTTACAAGAACAACTTTACAGTTACAATAGGACATAACGGCAGTAGTTACAAAAACAGCTTTACAGTTACAATAGGACATAACGGCAGTAGTTACAATAACAGCTTTACAGTTACAATAGGACATCACGGCAGTAGTTACAAGAACAGCCCTACAGTTACAATAGGACATCACGGCAGTAGTTACAATAACAGCTTTACAGTTACAATAGGACATAACGGCACTAGTTACAATAACAACTATACAGTTACAATAGGACATAACGGCACTAGTTACAATAACAACTATACAGTTACAATAGGACATAACGGCAGTAGCTACAATAACAGCTTTACAGTTACTTTAAACATATCGGCAGTAGTTACAATAACAGCTTTATAGTTACAATAGGACATAACGGCAGTAGTTACAATAACAGCTTTACAGTTACAATAGGACATCACGGCAGTAGTTACAATAACAGCTTTACAGTTACAATAGGCCATAACGGCAGTAGTTAAAATAACAGCTTTACAGTTACAATAGGACATAACGGCAGTAGTTACAATAACAGCTTTACAGTTACAATAGGACATATCAACAATAGTTACAATAACAGCTTTACAGTTACAATAGGCCATAACGGCAGTAGTTACAATAACAGCTTTACAGTTACAATAGGACATAACGGCAGTAGCTACAATAACAGCTTTACAGTTACAATACGACATATCAACAATAGTTACAATAACAGCTTTACAGTTACAATAGGCCATAACGGCAGTAGTTACAATAACAGCTTTACAGTTACAATAGGACATAACGGCAGTAGTTACAATAACAGCTTGACAGTTACAATACGACATAACGGCAGTAGCTACAATAACAGCTTTACAGTTACAATAGGACATAACGGCAGTAGTTACCATAACAGCTTAACTTTGAGAAAAATAGCACAAACCACCGCCTCTGTTTGCCTTTTTTTTTAAATATAATTATTTAAGGCTACTGTAGCTACATCATTTGCCTCTCTCGACCGCTGCTCACGCTATGAAAACCACCTCTCTTCCGGAGTTCAGGAGATGTCCTGGTAGCGGGCTGCCTCTCTCTTCCTTAGCGTATGAACGCAGTGTGGCCATGGGAGATTGTCAGCTTCCTGGCTAGCACGGTGACAGTAGGACCAAGGTGTGAGCGGGTTTGGCATATGAGGGCAGAGCCGGGCCAAGAGAGGTCTCTGTTTAGACTGCTAAGCTAAGCACTACTGTAGCTAACTCCATGGAGGAGACTGGGTAGAGTGAAAGGATGTGGTTGGCAGGAATAGCGAAGGCAGAAGTCTTAGCTTAATGTATCGTTATCTACTTAGATTAGCTCTGCTCCTATGACTAGGACCCTGTGCTACCTGCTGGGGTTTAGTCACCCTAGATGCCCCCTCAAGCAGGAAAACTCAGACTGAGACATGGTTTCACTAAATGCTATTTAATGGTGGATAAACAGTGTGCGTACTCTCTTCTTCACAAGTGGGTTTTTTCCCTCCATTTGTTGACAGGATTGTGAGTAACTCTCTCTTTCTCCTCCCCAGCCATATTCAACCTCATTCCAGTGGGGCTTCGAGTTGTGGCCATCCAGGGAGTGCAGACCAAGCTCTACCTGGCCATGAACAGCGAGGGCTTCCTGTACACATCAGTAAGTCTCCCCAACCTTCTTCTGTGTGTGTCTGTTGTCAATGAGTCAGTGTGTGACACAGGTCTTGTTTGTCCTCTGTTGCTCAGTGGATGTAGTTGGAGTCTCCCTGACTACTCTGTTGAAGAGCCCCTGTCTGGGAGAAAGTCACCACACACACACACACACACACACACACACACACACACACAGCAGATGTCATCAGAGTGCGTAGCTGAACATTGTATGCTGGAAAACACTTGGTTTGTTCTTTTTGATTAAAACAAAAACGCTATTCATAAATACGACTACAGAACTTGTTTTTGCGTGGATTCCACGACGCGGTTAGCGTCAGGTTGAAGCCTGCTTGACAGAGACACTAAGCTGCTAGCCATCAAGCTAATGAAGTTGGTACCAGATGAGTTTTGCAATGGAGCCCTCTTTGTCTGGAGAACTAAATGAACGGTTCTAGCGCTGTAGGAGCTGTATCTATTACGCTTTGTTTCGGGACAAACCGGATCACTCTGAGTTCCAATGCGGCAATTGTTTACTTGCCGAGGATTATAGGCTTGAGGTGCCTTCCTTGATCACGCAGTTCGCCAGCTTACGTAAGAAACTGGGGAAAAACGCAGAGTGGAATGTTTAAATTTTCTACGCCGGTGGCTGGACGGCATTCGCGCTTGTTGGATGCATCTCCGCCTTGTAGTTTGTCATTATCCGACTGGCCAGTGTTGCCCGAAGCTCCCCCATCTGATAGCGCCGTCGAAGGAGCACAGCATGAGGAGAAAGGCAATCAACGATGGTCGCATGCCACGAGCCGTGGAAGCCGAAGACAGCAACCTCCCGCAAAGCAGTCTACACTCCCAATGAGAGGCCCGGAGCAGATACAAACAACGAATAGTTTCGCCGTCCTGGAGCCTGATCTTCCTGCACCTTCGTCGCTGGGGGTGCCTGTGTCTGCGGCCACAGTGCCTACTACTACGATTTCGAAGTCGACGTCGGCAACCTTCTGTCCCTGCTCTGGATCGAGCGGCAGCTCTGAACAGTTAAAGAACTGATTAACTCTCTGCTAGACACTAACAAAAAACCTATCATGTCTGGCCCTGTGCCCTCTCTGAATCGTGGCATTGAACACTTTAGCAGGATTCTTGCTCTTCACAACTGGCTGCATGATTATTGCAGCTCAATGGGTGTAACTGTTGTTGACAATTTGGATACCTTTTGGAATCAAAACACGTTTTATAAGGAGGATGGGATCCACCCAAATCATTTGGGTTCCTGGATCCTTTCACAGCATTATAAGGCTGCGTTGAGACAATGAATTAGCAATGACCCAAGCCCAGCTCAGCTAATCCCTACCAATGTGAAGCAGAGTTGTCAAAATGCTTCAGCAAATGTACATTACACCAGGGTCGTCGGTAGACACAATATAAGTTGTGCCTAATTTATGTCCCTCTAACTGCCCTGAATACCTCTACTGATCCTACAGCTATTGTATGCAGTAATCATGTGCTTTAGAACCAGATTTATACTGTTAGCACTGAGCCGGTGTGCCCAAGGAGGACGTCCACTGTGTGCAGCTCACCATGCATAAAGATAAAAACATGACCACATCTACTGCTGCTAAGCTTCCCAGTAAAGCAATAAAAATAAGTAAGCATCCCAGAAGAAAAATGCTCAAAATAGCCCACGTTAACATATGTAGCTTAAGAAACAAGGTTCATGAAATCAATAATTTGCTAGTAACAGATGACATTCATATTCTGACAATCTCTGAAACTCATTTAGATAATACCTTTGATGATACAGTGGTAGCAATACAAGGTTATAACATTTACAGAAAAGATAGAAATGCCAATGGTGGAGGTGTTGCTGTTTATATTCAGAACCACATTCCTGTGAAGACTAGAGAGGATCTCATTTTAAAAACTGTTGAAGTAATATGGCTACAGGTTCATCTGCCTCACCTAAATCCCATTCTGGTGGGAAGCTGCAATAGACCACCAAGTGCTAACAGTCAGTATCTGGATAACATGTG